CCACGGTGCCTGGGCCCATAACCTGATGAATTCCACGATGAAAATGATGGTCAGACAATGAGTGAAGTCGATAGTATATTCGTTTAATAAATCAAATTCACAGAGCTTGCGTAGCGTCCTCTTTAAATTTCATTTTCAAAGTGTTACCTTACATTTTAAATCTTAAGTATATCGAAACTGAACGTCTAAATAGCGGCACGCTTACAAACATTAAATTGCCGTGCATTATAGATTATTCTCACTGTTCAACAGATTTGCTTTGAAATCGCTTATCCAGATTTTCGATTATACGGAATACCCCTAATTAATCCGGATAATCGGGATTCTACTGTACTTCCATCACTGCACCAAAAATTAAATTTAATTAAATACCTTTCTAGCACTAAATTCAACTGCAATACACAAACACTACTTCACATTGCGAAAGCAACAGTCATAGCAAAAATAAAGTGTGGCTTGTTTCTATACGGGCACACTCCCAAAAGCGTGCTAAACAAACTAAAAACACCTTTTAGCACTGCAATTCGACGAGCCCTTGGCGCCTATCGAACCACACCCATAAATAACTTGCTATATGAAGCCAATATCCTCCCACTAGAAAAAACACGAGACTTCCAAACAGCCAAACTGACAAAAAACCTTATACTTTCCAAAGATACACCAATACACAAACTCATCAAACTTAGAAAACCCAAAAAAACACCCATTAACTATAGATCCCACAATAAATCTCTTAAGATACATATGTACAACATTTAGAGCACACAAGAAACAAAACACAGCACCAGATACATGCAGGAAACTACTCAAACACACTAAAAACAACCATAAAACACACAAATTAATATTCACGGACGGATCGAAAATTAACTCCACTGTTTCTTACGCAGTCACAACAGATACTAATGCTATTAATAACGGTATACTACCCCCATACTCATCAGTACTTTCTGCTGAAATACATAATAGCCATCCTAACAGCGATCGACCAGGTCAAAAACACAAGGGGAAAGTTTATGATCTGCTCTGACTCTCCCTCAGCAATTGACATCATAACAAACATCAACAACAACAACATTTATTCAAACAAAATCAGATAATTTCTTACAAAACTAGCTCCAAAAATCAAAATACTTTGGATCCCTGGTCATGTAGGCATATCAGGCAACGAGTTAGCCGACCATACTGCAAAATCCACTAGCAATATGCCCCTTCTCTACACCCCCCACCAATGTACAGAAATTACAAATATTACAAATAAGTAGCAAAACCACAATAAACAAGAAAGGAAGCTAGCTTCGGCAAGCCGAAGCTTATATACCCTTGCAGTCATCAAATATGTCGAACAAAATGCATAAAGGCTAAACAACATTGAAGCTTAGACGATTTTTCTATTCATTTTCCATATTTTCGACTATAGATCATATGGGAGCTATATGATATAGTTGTTCGATTTTGATCAAATTTAATTAGTAATTCAAGAGTTGTTAGAAAACTTAATATCCCAAAAATCAATGTTATCTAATAAAAAACGACGATGTTATCATTATATTTCCGTTATTTCTATATAGATTTTTCGATCTTTCCTATGGTAGCTATAAGATATAGATGACCGATTTTTATGAATCTTTTTCTCAATATTAGGGTTGTTAAAAAACTTGATATTCAAAAAATTTTATTTCCATTAATTCTATATATAATTTTCGATCTCTCCTATGGCAGCTATATGATAGAATTATCCGATTTTAATCAAATTTAATCCGAAATTCAATAACAGTTAGAAAACGCCATCTTGAAGAATTCAAGTCGATCTGATAAAAAAAAACGGCGTACGATTTTGTTATTTCATTCTCTTGTATTGGAGCTATCCGATATAGTCGGCCGATCCGGCCCGATCCGACTTATATACTGCGTGCAATTGCTACACAACTTTTGGGAAAGTTTCAGCGAGATAGCTTTAAAACTGAGAGACTAGTTTACATAGAAACAGACAGACGGACAGACGTACATACATATTTCGATTCAGATGGTGATGCTGATCAAGAATATATATACTTTATGGGGTCTAAGGTGTCTCCTTCACTGCGTTGCAAACTTCTGACTGAAATTATAGTACCCTTTTGCTCTGCAAGGGTATAACAATATGTAAATACACTAATAAATACACTTGGCCCTCGCTTAACACGGACTCTTTTAGCACGAACTCGGTCTTACACGGTTACAAATTTGCTTCCATACCCCTTTTAACACGCTAAAAACCTCGGGCCACCAAAAAAAATAAAATATTTAAACAAACTGGATAAAACTAAATGCCATCAAACGCATTTTAAATTTGATATGAATAGAAACCACTGACCATGATATCCTTATTTTATTACATTTTTATGTTTCTATAAAGTTAAAGGGGCACAACTAGTGGGACAGCCTAAAAAAATTGTGATTTTTGGGAATTTGTATAAAAAAAAACTACTTGGTCAATTCTTTTCAAATTTTCAGAATATATTTATATATGTTTTAAGAATGTATAGTGAAATTTTTAAAGAAAAAAGTTAAATATTTTTTAAGTTAGAGTCGATCTCCAACGACGCTAAAAAAAAGTGCCTTAGCTGCTGCAGTGATTCCGGTCTTCTCCGTGGATGAAATTAAAAAAAAAAATCTTGTTAAACTAAATAATATTGTCTATACAATGACCTACAATAAAAAAAAATCAAAAATTGACAAAATGGCGAGTGCAATCTACCGAAATATGAAAGAAAAAAAAAGACTTTTTGAAGTGTCCACTAGTTGTGCCCCTTAATAAAATTAATTGACTCATGTTGCCGCAGAAAACCACATACCTAGTCTATTTTTGCCTTTAAAACCTTACCCTTCTTGAATTATAATAACCTCTGCAAGGGTATAAAAATGCATCATAACTCTTACCTCTGTGGTGGTGTAAAATTGAGTTTCAAATAGTATAAACACAAAGGCAAGCGAAATCTATAAGATATAGACGATCTATTTGGCAAAATTTTCAAACTTTATCTTTGGCTAGTAGTTAATTAAAGGAAAAACAGTCTCTTCATATGAATTAATGTTCTCTTTTCGCTGTATTGGTGTTTCGCTCATCCGTTAGTAGCATGTGAAAGCCACTGCACCGAAGAATCTATACCCTGCAGTTCTGGCTGTTCATAAGAGAATTTTGGCAATTACCAATCATGTGTGTAGGAAAGGGAAAGGGATATTCCTATGTTTCCCTCTCTTCCTCACTCTTATAATACGATTTCGTTGCTTGCACCCGACTCCAAATTTGTCTTCTATTCTTTGGTTTTTCTAATTGCACTGTTGTCATTCTCCGTTAGAAACAAAAAATTGGTTTTCGATGGAAAATACGGCTGAGGGGCGATCGACTTATGTATACTCTTCTGATGTTAAAATTCTTCAAATATAAATATAATATAACATATAATATTTATATATATGTATACATATATATATATAGTATTATTTAAATTATGGAACCAAGGTAACCATAACATTGATTACAAATGTATGTAGATACATATAATATAACTCGCGTGTCATTTATGGTCGGTTATACCTAAAAAGAAGGGTATACTAAAAGGGTGAAAAATAAAATTGAACTGCGTCATTCTTTTGCGTAGTGCGTTGACAATATGTTGTCAAATTTCTTAATTTGTGCAACGGTAAGCGGAAATGTTTAAAAATCATGTAAGTGTCGTTAATATTACAAAAATATTATGTTTTTTACTACAAACTTATTTAAATCTTTTTTAGGATTAAGCCATACACATGTATGTCCGATAATTTCCTTTGAAAGGTAAGTTTGCGCTAAATTAAAAAAAGTAATATATAATATGTAATAACGAAAATATTTTTTGTACCATAGATGGACGCAAAACAGCCGATGTCCTGAAAATACTCCACATAAATGGTAAACAAAAACTTTCGAATTTCATATTTTTAATGTGCTTATCTCTTATGTTACAAAATAAGGTATTTTATAAAATAAAAAAAAATATATATGTATATATTGTTTTTCATATGAATTTGGGGATGAAATTTTGAATATTGGCATATGTATATGATTTCCCTAAGGGCGATCCTCGAGGAAAACCAAGCTTCCACTTCCGCTACGAATTCCTCTATGCTTTATACGAATTTTTTCCATATAAAATTCGTATAAGGCACCGAGGAATCGTTCGATGAAACGGCCAAAAAGTTCATCGAGAGCTGCACCTATGAAGAAAACTTGAATCCCATACAAAATTCGTCGCGCAATTCCTCGGTGCGGCCTAGCCTTCGTACCCCGGTTCCTCGGTGCTTCCTCGCGGATTTCATATAGGAAAAAGCTATTTTGGAACTGCAGGGCATATTTAGGTGTTACTGATTTTGGTTCATAATTTGAAGCAAACGGCGCATCGAAATTTAAAAAAAAAACAAGAAAGTAAGCTAGCTTCGGCAAGCCGCAGCTTATAGATCCCTGCAGTCATCAAATAAATCATCATGATCGTGGGATTAAAAGCAACGACGTTATCTTTTATCCGTTATTTATATATTTCCTATGGCAGCTTTATGATAGAGTTATCCGATTTCGATAAAATTTAATCCGAAATTCTATTAAGTCCATCTGATCAAAAACAACGGCATGAGAATTTTTTGTTTCATTCTCTCTTATGGGAGGTATCCGATATTGTCGGCCAATCCCGCCCGTACCTTTTTGGAAAGTTTCAGCAAGATACCTATGTAGCTTTAAAACTGAGAGGCTAGTTTGCGTAGAAACAGACATGAGGATAGGCGGTTCGATTCTGATCGTTTAGATATAAACCAAATATAAATTTAAACCCTATAAAATTAAGCACCATCTTTTGTGACAAAAAGAACAGTAACTACCACATCCGATAAGAAAGAAGTATATATATATGTACATATGTATGTGCACATAAATTGTATATTTACCATGGAACTGAGCAGTAGTACCTACACGGTATATAAAAGCAGGCGTGAATAGACATGAGAACTGTTTGAAATTCGTTTGACCATTAAAATACAAACCAAAAATATAGCTCCAGATAATTTAAAAAAATATTAATTATTAAAAAGCTAGTTCCGATTGATTACAGTATTAAGCTATTGAAGATAAAAATGATTGTTTTTGTGTTTAATTTTATGTTCGCTCTTTGCATTATCCTTATAACCATTTCTTACTCAATTTTGGTTTTGAAATGCAAACAAAAAGCATGTGTATCAATCGGTATTTCGTACAAAGGAAAAGAAATTCAAAAGTTTGACCAAGCACCAGGTCCACAACCCTGGCCAATAATCGGAAATTTGGATTTACTCGGTCGATTTCAATATAACCCCTTCGAAGGTTTTGGGGCATTAACAAAAAAATATGGTGACATTTACTCCATTACTCTCGGACATACACGGTGCTTAGTAGTAAATAATGTCGATTTAATAAAAGAAGTCTTAACTAAAAATGGAAAATACCTTGGTGGCCGCCCGGATTTTTTCCGATACCATAAGCTATTCGGAGGCGATCGAAATAACTGTAAGTATATATACATATAGAGCGGACACAGTGGCGATAATAATTATAATTTTTGAATAACGCTTAAAACAAAAATTTTTAAAAATTCAAAAAATGTATGTACGGCGTTCTCGTTATGCCTTTTATTTTTGATAATGTAAATTTAAAGCTTTCATGTTGTTCAGTTAGAGTTAGTGTGGGTTTCTGAGGGTGGCAAAAAAAAAAAAAATCAAAAAATAAAATCAAATCAGTGTCTTTTAAATAATCTTAATAAAATTATCTGGTAATACTTCGGAATATTGACTCCAGCTATATCTCAGCCCCAAAAGAACTTGGGAACCAAATTAAGGGTTTTTTCGTAAGATAATAACCCCCTTAGGAGGGGCAGAAGGTTTTTTACCTTGGAAAATTGAAATTTCCTCAGAAAATCAGCGGAAATCAGCGCTAGGGGAAATTTGAGGACATATTTTGGGTAATTGGCCCAAAATAAACACTTTTTAATAAATAAAATTTTTCGATTTCTCGCACCGTTTACGAGATATCGAGCCTTAAATTTCCGATAACAGTGAGGGCTGGTAGCGGGCGATGCAATGCATGACGTGCATGTAAGAGTTTTCCGCTGATTTTCCGAGGAAATTTCAATGGCTCCATCTTGGATTATATCTACTTTTTTAATTTTTCTCTAATTTTGTTACAAAAAGATTTTTCTCCATTTAGTAATCTGGTGAAACAAGAACCTTCTGGGTTAAGGGTGCAAAAATTTTAAATAATTCTTTCTTAAAATTAGACATTACATAGTACTTATTTCTACATTTTGCGACGTCATTATCAATTAATAATTTTCCATCATCATGTGAAATGGATCTTGATTTAGAAACGTCACATCGATCGGTAATAATAGGGTATTGTATGTAAATTATAATAAGATCTTTGTGCAAAGCGATTTTTAATTCTGATATATCTAAAAGGTCTGTTATAACTACAGGTCTATTTTCGTGTTTATAAATTTCTTGTATATCGTCATTGTTTAGAATTTTAGTATTAAATACATCAATTTTGGCGAGTTTAATTGTGTCCATTAAATTCATAAGATCGTAAGTAAGCAAGCGCAGACGATATTTTCTAAGTGGAATCTCTTGGTCCTTAAAGGCTGTTTTGAATTCTTCAGATAAAGATTCAATCTCCTTAAATAATTTTGAATTAATAACAAATTGATCGTTATTATTTTGTATTAAATCATCGATTTTATTTTGGACAGTTGTGAAATCATCATGATCTGGTGTTCCCGCTATCCATTTCCAAATAGTGCCTATTTCTTTAATGCCTCTTTTTGATCTACTGGGTATAATTTGAGAGATAAGTATTTTGATGATTTTTAAATCGTGGGATAATTCCAAATGAAAATTCTTGTTGTCCTGACTCTTTAGGAATCTCTTTCGAGGTTAATTACATCTCTATAAAGACTTACATATGGGACATTCTTTTACAAATCGTACGGATTCGAGAAAAATTTTTTTTTCATATCTCAGAATTGAATGAAAATTTTTTTTCAGCTTTTATGGAAGATTTTATTCGACACGTGTAAAAGGATTTTACTCAAAAAAAAAATAGTTTTTCATTTATTTTTTCTGTATATTAAATATATTATCTCCGCTTCCAGTAGTCACATAATAAAAACTTTTTTTATTCAATAAATATTAATGTTGCCTTTTAAGTTTTTTACTTGCAATTTTTTTATTTGCTCAGAAAAAAAAATTATAAACAATTTAATAGTTTGAAAGCTGATCCCCACAACATAAAAAATTAGGAAAATTACAATTTAATTTTATACGTCATTCCTAAGAAAAAACACTTGGATTTAGAGTGGGGTCTCTATTAGGTAATAAGATATAAAATAACATTGATCGCGCTGCGGCAGCATGTGGAGCGCGCTGCGCGAAGAGTCGAAAATTATTTAATATCTCTTGATCTGATGAAGACCCCACTCTAATTCCTTTTACTGTTTATTAAGCGAAACATAGGGATAATAAATTGATTTTTTCAATTAAATAAGTTGTGGGGATCGGCATTGAAATGTCGATATAATGATTAATTTATTACTAATTCTTATAAATAAAAAATTAAATTAAAAAAAAATTACTTTTTGAAAGCTGAATTCTTGAACTAAATAATAAACAAGAAAGAAAGCTAGCTTCGGCAGGCCGAAGCTCATATACCCTTGCAGTCATCAAATATGTCGAACAAAACGCATAAAGGCTAGACAACATCGAAGCTAAGACGATTTTTCTATTCATTTTCCATATTTATGACTATAGATCATATGGAAGCTATACGATATAGGTGTCCGATTTTTATCAAATTTATTCGTAATTCAAGAGTCGTAAGAAAGCTCTATATTAAAAAAATCATACTTGTCTGATGAAAAACAACGATGTTATTATTTTATTTCCGTTATTTCTATATAGATTTTTCGATCTTTTCTATGGCAGCTATAAGATATAGTTGTCCGATTTGTATAAAAATTTTTTCTCAGTATAAGAGTTGTTAAAAAACTTGATATTCAAAAAATCATGCTCGTGGGATTAAAAACAACGATGTTATCAATTTATTTCCATTAATTCTATATATAATTTTCGATCTCTCCTATGGCAGCTATATGATAGAGTTATCCGACTTTGATCAAATTCAAGTCGATCTGATGAAAAACAACGGCGTGAGAATTTTTCATTTCATTCCCTCGTATGGGAGCTATCCGATATAGTCGGCCGATCCGGCCCGTTCCGACTTATATATACTGCGTGCAATAACTACACACCTTTTGGGAAAGTTTCATCAAGATAGCTTTAAAACTGAGAGACTAGTTTGCGCGGAAACGGACAGACGGACAAATGGACAGACGGACAGACGTATTCCGATTTTACTCGTGATGCTGATCAAGAATATATATACTTTATGGGGTCTGAGGTGTCTCCTTCACTGCGTTGCAAACTTCTGACTGAAATTATAATACCCTTTTGCTCTGCAAGGGTATAAAAAAAATTGTAACGATACGATTAATAGAACAAGAGATAATTGATTTAACGTGTTCAAGGATAGAGAAAACCATTGATATTGTCAAAAATCATAACTTTGTAAAAAAAAAATTTTAAGCAAAATACCGACACACGTGTCTTTTTATTTTGCTTCCTACACTTGAAAAATTTTTTTTGACAAAAATCGGAATTGTTACGCAAAAAAGGTGTACGATTTGTAAAAGAATGTCCCATATATGTATCTGTTATATGAAATAAATCTGCGTATGATTCATAAATAAGAACATCTTTGGTAGGAAATCATGGTTCGTATGTATAATCCATAATTTCAGATTTGGTTGTAACTACCAGCAATAATAAGTAAATTATTGAAATCATTATCTGTAATTTGAAACAAATTATTTAATATTATCTTTATGAATCGTGCGGTTTCTGTTATTTATAATAACTTTATTGGGTAGATTTTACTTAACTACTTGTTTTTTATATCTAGAATTAAGCTTATTTCTTTCCCCGTGTTTCTTTTCGTAAATTACCTCTCCTACGTGATAATTCTTATTTCGTCTATCTTTATTATGGAATTGTAACATTTTCTCTTGAGCTTGTTGCAATAATTTAGGAGTATCTTCGTGTTTGATTTCATTAAATAGTAGGGGAGAAGTGGGGGTTGTGGGCATGGGTCGGTTGTGGGCACCCCTACGTATATTTTCACAAAATGAAGATTGAATTTTTTTGGTAATGTCATTCGCAAGCAATTACCCTATGTATGATTTATGCCAAATATCAAAGTAAACGAACGCGTTTGCTTTTTGAAATTAACGAATTGGTTTTTCTTGTGCTTGGAAAAGGTGGTGAAACTTTATTCAAAGATTTTCAATAGTGTATCAATTAAAGTGAATCGATTAAAAAGGTAAGTGTAATGCATTTTTATTTAGTCAAAGCATTATACTTAATGGAACAATATCGATTTGAACCAAAAAATTTATGCAAACACATTTTTTAATTACTTCTTAAAATGTCTGCGAAAGTTGGTTGTGGGCACCAAAATTGGGTGGGTTGTGGGCACCCTTTTTTTTTTTGACAAATTTTTTTATTACCTACAATTTCTTGTAAAATTGTTTTCAAAATTTGTTTGGAACCCTCTAGAACATTCTTGTAGAAATCTTAGGCTCTTGGAAAAGGAACGTCTCCCGCTGAGAGGGATTATCACTCAATTGTGACATCTGCGATCGAGCTTTTCATCCGAAATATGTGGACATGCGGGGCAGTCATTATACATGTCAAAATTGTGTTTCCGACGATGAATAACGCCTATGTAGTCTTTGAAATAAATAAATTGTCATTTTGTTGATATTGGTTGGGGGTTTTTTTCCATATTATTCCATTTGCAGCATTTTTTCCCAGGGTGCCCACAACCCCCCCAAAAAAAAAATTTTAGCTGAAAATTACGATTTTACAAAAGTCCATATGAAATTTTTTCGCATGACAAAATCAAGGATGTTTCTTCATAATTAGTTAGTTTAGGTCTCTAGCTTTACACAGATACCCATATGTCCAAATAATATGCACTAGTTCGGTAATTATAAGCCAAAAACAAAACTATGCCCACAACCCCCACATCTCCCCTATATCAAAAGGTCGTTGGTTGGTTATTGAGTGAATTGTTAAATTATATTTTTGTGCTGCTTTAATTATAATTTCGGAATAATCAATTAAATTATGCTCATCTTTAATGCATCGAGCAATTTCTGTTAATGTAGAGTGTACTCTTTCTTTTTGTCCGTTGGACGTACTAAGTCGAGGATCTGCAAAGAATAGAGATATCTCATTTCTTTGAGCAAAAGATTTGAATTGGGATGAAGAAAAACTTGGTTCATTATCTATCATCAAAGGTTTGGATAATGGAAATTGTTGTAAAATTTCTGAAACTTTATTTTCTATATTTAGTTTATTGGGGATTTCTTTTACGACCAAGTATTTTGAATAGGA